CTCCAAAATAGACCACATACTCACACATAGAACATGTTTAAGTAAGTGCAAAGGAATTGAAGTTATCCCCTGTATATTATCAGACTATAGTGCGACGAAATTGGAGATCCATAGCAAAAGAAACTCAAAAAATTTCATAAACACGTGGAAAATGAACAACACACTTCTGAATAACCAATGGGTCACAGAGGAAATTAAAGAAGAAATCAGACAGTTCCTTCAAATAAATGACAAGGACAATAAGACCTCCCCCCGTGGATGGGGAAGCAAGAGAGTCCAGGAGACAGGAAGAAAACACAACTGCAGAGGTTCTGGAAAGCCTGTAGCCCTTTTCCTCCCCCAATTCTAACATAGGACAAGAACCTCTGAAAACCCCATGCATACTCTACCCCATGCAGGGTAGAGAGCAGAGGGTGGCTGTCTGTGCCCATGTCCCCTCTCAGAGCCAGGGCAGGTGGCCCTGGGAAGAGGAAGTGAACCAGAGCATCTAGGTGGACCCGGGCAGCCAGGCTTGCACAACCACCCACGGTTCTGCCCGAGGCCAAGGGTCTGAAGAACACAGAACAATCTGGGTCTAAACGAGAGAGTCAATGCTACATCTGAAGGCCAGCAGGAGGGAGGAACACTGTCTCAGCAGTCTGTATTTCCAGTCAAAAACAAGGACAAGGCAGCCTCCTTTGGGAACCTTGGCATAAATGAAGCCCTGGAGCAAAAATGCAACCCCAAGAGAAAATGAGCAAATTCCCATTGCTAAGTGAAATGGCCTTTGGAATGGTAACTAAATCATAGATACAGTGGGAAAATGTGTAGACCCTGGGTATAGGAAGGGAGGGGCACAGCAGCTCCCCATATTCCTCACAGATGAGGAAGCTGAAGTTCTGGGACTGGAATGATGTGCCTGAGGTCTCAGGAGCTGAACAAGTGCCTGACGTGTCCTCTTTTCTGCCATAACACACAGCCTTCTGGCTTTGAAGCAGAAGAGGGAAACTTTTCACTACCTCGTTATATAGACACTGCTGTTTTCCCACAAGGCCAGTAGCAGCCAGACCTGGCCCAAGAGTTGTATGAAAACAACGAAAAGGCAGACCACTTGGAGGATGACTGGCACACACAAGCTGTGAGAGAGGCCAGAAGTTGCTGGAAGTGGTAGTCAAGTTCAAAGCTACTGCCCCAGCAGGAGCTGGGCAGGCACTGGCTCAACACTCACGGGCCATGGAGCAGGTCTAGGGAAGGCTTGGCATGAGGGGAAGACAGAAGGCACTTCCTTGTTCACTGATCCGAAGGAGTCAGGCAGACGTGGGGTGGGGACTGAGTAAACGCCATCATTCACTTGCTGTGCGTCCCTGGGAAGTTCACCCTCTCTGATCTGTGGCCTCCTTGTATGATCTATGAAGGGCGATACCAACCACTCTTAATAAAAGTCACCTATGGAAGGCATTGGACACACAGTAGGTCCTTACTAAGAGTAGGTTTCTTCCCTCTCTCTCCACTTCTACTTCTAAGGTGGCAGATTCTGCAAGGCAAGAGCTGCTCTCACAGATTCAGGACCTTGACCTCTCTGGGCCTCAGTTTCTCCATTTGTAAAGCAGTTCCCAGCCCCCCAAGTGGTGGAGACAAATGTCTTATTGTTCCCTTGGGGAAAGGGTACAAGGAACGGCAAAGGGAGGGACCAGGGTACATGGAATCCCCCAGGCCTGGGAACCTAGAGCAATTTTTCCAGAACATAAACGTGGAAAGTGTGTGATCATGAACTTCACAGATGTGGGAAATCAAAATGAGCAGAGGGCATGAAGAAGGCATCTCAGCCTCAGCTGAGCACAGTGATGAAGAGAAAAGACCGGATGTGACTGTCTTGCCCACACCAGCTGTGCAGCTCTGGACGCAACACCAAGCTCTGAGCCCCCTCCCTCTAAGCCATGTAAAAACTGAACACAGGGCTGTGGGGATCTGGCACGTGACAAGAGCTGAGTGGGTGCTGGCTCTTGGCACTGTTTTTATCACCATTCTTATCCAATGAGTTGAGTTCTAACTCAGCCACATGCTCTCTGGGTCACTTGTCTCCATGAGGCCTCAGTTTCCTCTTCTGTGAAAGAGGAGCAGTAGCCTTCCTCTCACAGGATTCTTGTCATATGACTCATTCACCAGGGGTTCAGAAAACAGAAAAACCCCACTCTGGGATTGAGAGACACCCCAAGATCAGGAGGCCAGAGAGGGAAGCAGTTTGGCTCTTGACATTGTAGAAGCAGGATTTCTCCAGTTGGAAAACAAAGTAACCAGTCCAGAGAAGGACGATGGTCAAGGGATGAGACCGAGGTCCCTTACTGGGCTCCCACAGGCTGCCCCTCCCAGTGCCCCGAACTTGATCTCCCTGGTCCTCTGGAAGTGTGAGTCCCCCATGCATGAAACCATGAAGTCTTGAGTAACAGCCCTATCTCAAGCTTTTCTGTTTCACTCGTGCACCAAATAGTTTAGCTGCTGCACCTGCCAAGGTGCTTGGCAATTATTTGCTTTGCAGAGCCCTGAAAGACATCACTGGATGGCACAATTCCTAATTACCTAGAAATTCATCATCTAGTCCCGCATTTCCTGATTCCCGTGCTATAAAAGAGGCTTCCTCCTTGGCAAAGGTGAGCAGAAGGGGAAGGAGACCAGGACAGCAGCTGAGGTCTTGTGAAGCCCAGGTGAGACCCATCTCTCCTGCTGCCGCTCTTCTGGCCCAGGACACAGGGATGCCAGGCTCCTTGATGTGGCCAGGCATGGATAGATGGCATTTGGGGCTACTTACTGAGGTTCTTGCAAGGAAACAAGGCTTGCCCTGGCCAGGGACACGAAGAAGCCCAGGCACTCTGCTTTCCTAAGAGACCAGCCACACTCATAGAGAATGAGTGCTATTTACACCCTAACTTAAAAGCTCCATGGGCTGGGGATTTAGCTCGGTGGTTCCACTGCCTGCCTAGCAAATGCAAGGTCCTGAGTTTGATTCCCAGTACCAAAGGAAAAAAAGCTCCAAGGCAAGAATTTTAATGTAAGGTTGCTGGTCACCCACAAAACTCTCAAGATTGTTCATCCAATTTTGTACATTTTGAAGCATTTTTCTGACTCTAGGGTCTTTAGCTGCCATTGGATTTATAAAGGTTGCCCAACACATTCAGTGACAGTTGGAATTTTACCCAAATCAGCTGGTCATCTCCAAAGCATAGGTCCTAACTCTGGCTCTGGACACTTTGGGGGGGCTGCCAAACAGACCTGCAAAGGGGTCAGTAATATCTGGGAAGCAGCCAGTTCACCAGGTTCCCAGACCTCAGGGTCATCCTGTTCATTCATCCAGGGCAGCTGGAGGGAGAAGAGAAAGGTGTGGAAAAGAGTGGAGAAGGGTTCAGAGGCCTGCCTCCAAACATAGCACTGCCGTCACTTTGCTGTGTGACCTTATGAAAGCCATTACCCTCTCTCTTCTCTTGATTCCCTATGGACCCTGAGTCTTTGGATGGCCCCAGGATTTCCCTAGCACAGGTCTGCATTGAGATGATGGCTGTGTCTACACAACTCTGACATCGTGTGGCTTGTGGGGGTGTCTACAAATCATCACGCCTGAACCCAGACCAAAGGACTGAGTAGGGATGTTGGCAAAGCAGCTCAGGTCTCCAGCTGCTAGCATGAGTGAGCCTTTCCATCCGGTTTGCTGGAAGGGCAAGAACTCAAGCCATTACCAGCAAACCCAGCTGGAAAGTGAATCTGTTGGCTGCTTCCTCCTAAAGCCCTTTGGGTGAAATAGATCTGGCATCAAATCTTCTGGCCACTGTGTGCTTGAGACTTTGGGAGTTTGCCTCAGTCACTAGGCCCCTGATTCCTCAGCTGTGTGATGCAGTAACAAGTGCCCACATCTTTGGATGTGGTAATGATGAAATTGGTTACCAAGTAAAGCGATTGACCTGTTGCCTGACACAGAGAAATCCCCAACAGTGCTAGTTATTATCACCGGTCACCCCCTGGTGTCCTAGAGAAGAAAAAAGTAAGAAATTCCTTCTCCGGGTCAGGGTGTAGGCCTTGAGTAGATTCCTCTGGGCCACCTTGGATTTGTCATTCTGTCCACAGGTACCAAGAGAAATGTTTCAAATTGGGGGCCTCATTGTCTTCTGTGGGCTGCTGGCCCAGACCACAGCCCAGCTTGGTGGTGGCCTGCCATTGCCACTGGGCCAGGGGGTGCCATTGCCACTGGGGCAAGGCCAGCCCTTGCCCCTGGGCCAAGGCCTACCCTTGTATGTGACACCAGCTCTGTCCTTGAAGCATGAGGATCCTCAGGGAAGCCTGACTGGCGGTGAGTCTGTGACAGCCTCTTTCAGATATATGCGTGTGTGTGCAAGTGTATGTCCAACCATCCAATAAGAGGAAGCCCTGAGGATCTGAATTCCAGAGACTTTCTACCTTTTGCAGCCCTCACCAATGGCCTGCTCTCAGGGGGTCTGTTGGGCGTTCTGGAAAACCTTCCACTCTTAAACATCCTGAAGCCTGGAGGAGGCACTTCTGGTGGTCTGCTTGGGGGCCTGCTTGGAACTCTGACTTCAGGGATTCCTCTCCTGAACAACATCATTGAGTAAGTTGCCCCCAAATAGGTCAAAGATCTGCCGGTCACAGGCAGTGGTCCTGAAGGAGGGTGGAAGTAGCTGAGCCCTGAGGCAGTATCACTGAGACCCTTCTTTAGCCAGGCAGGGAACACTGGGCCCCCTGTACAAGTAATTGGCCCCAGGCCTCAAGCATGTCCTGGGGTTCCAGAAACATCTATAAGCCTGATGACAACCCTTTGAGATCAGTTTAATCATGCCCAGTTCACAGATGGGGGAACAGAGGCACAGGAACATGTACTCAGGGAAAATGAGGACTCTAAATTACCTAAGTCCAAAGCCAAGTCCATTTCCACAACACTGTGGTTAGTTTTTCTCCCCACCTGTGGAATCACTTAGAATACAAGTGGCTTTTGATGTAAGCAAAACAGGGTGAGCTAACTCCTCAACTACATCATCACGATGACTATGAGTAATGTGATGAAGGAAAAATCTCATATTTCCCATGAGATACCCGAAAGAAAGCCTGCTAAGCAACGAGCAATAGTGGAAAGCTTGATGCCACCATGCTGGCAAACCCTGGAGCCCCGATAGGGCTGGATCAAAGCCATTTCCACGCTCTCCACCCACCCAGTGCCTGCTCCCTGACTTAAGGCAGACAGACTTGAGTTTGATTTCCGAATGGACCATACTTGCTGGATGACCTGAGATGAGGTGCTCAGACTCTTTGGGCTTGGTTCTCCATCTGGAAAATGGAGATTGTAGGACCCACAGAGAAAGACTGTTGAGAAGATGGAGGAAGATGGAAATCACCTGGCCCCATGGCTGACTCAGAGAAGGCTTCCTCACACCTTTTCTTCATTTTCCCTTACCCCTTCCTGCTCTTCCATGCCCATGATAAGCACTGAGGATTGACCTGATATGGAAGACCATGACAGGATGAGTGATTCCCACCCATCAGTGTCTGTCCAGGGTTTATTCTGGTTGTCCATATATCATCCTTTCATCCACTGACCAATCTACCCACCCATTCATCCTTCCTTTCATCTAACCACTTCCTCTTCCGTCCAACCACCCACATATCTATCTACCCACCTTCCCATCGACCCATGGCCACCCACTTTCTCTGTGAGGCTCAGAGCTGGCACACAGGATGTAAACAGAGCCCAAACGTAGTTCCTGTCCCAAACATGGTGTAGACTTGACATGAAGAGAGAGCGCGCATGTCAGGATCTGATCCAAGCCGAGGTTGGGAAAGATGGGTGTGGGGCTCAGAGCCTGTGTGGCTTTGGGTGCAAGACTCCTCTCCTGTCTCCCTCTTCCCAGGCAGTAAGCTCCCCTCTGATATGGAGAGATTTGGGTTGAAGATGGTTTCTGGGTTTGGAGCCCAAGGAACTAATGTTTCTCCCTCCAATGTTGCTCACTGAACAGCTTAAGGATCACTAATCCCCAGCTCCTGGAACTTGGCCTTGTACAGAGCACTGATGGCCATCGCCTCTATGTCACCATCCCTCTGGGCCTGAACCTTGAATTGAAATTGTGAGTAGGTCCAAGGAGGATGGAAGGGTGGCTCACCAAGGAAAACCCTGGTGGCTGTGAGTAGCCAAAAAGGGGGTGTTGGAATGGAACAGATCTGAGCCTGAAACTTCAGTTTATTCCCTGTTATGCTGGACACCTTAGATCACTTGACCTACTTGATCCCTGGTGCCCCCTACTGGGAGGTCAAAAGAGGACAACTGTGGGCAAGAAGAGTGACAGGAGGCTGGTATTCCCGAGGAGGAAAAAAAACCATCCTCCTTGAATGTGATCGGTCCACATGCCAGTAGGGCTATCTCCTCTGCAGGCCCCTGGTCACGAGTCTGCTGGAGCTGAGCCTGAGGCTGAACATCATTGCAGAAGTCTTAACTGAGAGAGACTACCAGGGGAGAGTCCACCTGGTGATTGGTGACTGCACCCACTCCCCCGGCAGCCTTCACATCTACCTGTTTAAAGGGTGAGACCAGAGAGCTCCCTTCTTCAGCTCAGAGACAACAGGGTGGGGTGGGGAACGAGTGATTGGAAAGATGGAACAATGGGAGAATGGATGAGTAAGAGAACAGAAGGGAGGATGGATGGATAGACGGATGGACGAATGAATGGGCGGATGGAAAGGTGGATGGTTAGATGGGTAGAGGGAAGGATGGATGGACAGACAGATGTATAGACAGATGGATGAGTAAGTGGGTGGGTAAATAGTCACTTATCCCTTGTTAAGCCTGGAAGACTGGATTTTTATGTTGGATCAGACCACAAGAAATCTGAGTTTAACCTGGGCACGGTGGTACACACCTGGAGTCCCAGGTACTCAGAAGACTGAGGTCAGAGGACCGCTTGAGCCCAATTCAAGGACAGCCTAGGCAACAGTGAGACCCTATCTCAAAAAAAAGAATGGGGCCAGGGATTTACCTCAGTGGTTCCAGCGCCTGGCTCACAAGCGCAAGGTCCTGAGTTCGATCCCCTATACAAAAAAAAAAAAAAGAATGATAGAAGAGAAAGAGAGAGAAAAGAAGAAAGAGAGAGAGAGAGAGAGAGAGAGAGAGAGATTCTGAGTTTAAGCCTCGCCTATTCTAAGTTACTTATGTCAGTGACCTGACATGTAGGGAGACTGAGTCACACACAATATACAAGTTATTCAAACCTTGGCTGACATTCACTGAATACACATACTATGGTTCATGTATCATCTCAAAGCCCACATAACAACTATATACTAAGCCCTGTTTACACATTGGTGGACTCTGCAGAGTCTTGCTGAACACCTACTGCATCCTGGAGCTGTGTGTGCTGCTCTGAGGAGCGTAACTCCCTGCAGATAGGGCCTGCTCTTTGTCTGCTCGTGGGGGTGAGTGGACAAACTAGGTCTCAGCTACTGCTGCTGAGACTGAGGGTGGACAGTGGCCCTCTGAAGACTTCTCAAGGCCATGGCTTTTCTCTTCCAGAATTGCTCCTCAGCCTGTTCAAGGCCTTCTAGATGGCCTCACAGATATCCTCAATAAAGTCCTCCCTGAGCTGGTGCAGGGCAAGGTAAGAAGGCAGGGGTGGGAGTCCTCTGCTCCATGGAGCCTAGAGTGTCTCAAGCTGAAAAGTAGGCCTAGGAAGAGCTAATCTCCATCCATCAGTCTATCTATCTGGTCCAGCTGTCCAAGGGCTCCAGCTTGGGGCCAGGCCCTGTGCATGTCTCCACCACAGTGGGCCTGAGTTGCCCTGAGAAGCTCCCTGCCCAGTGCTCTGGGCCACAGAAAAGCAGCCTCCAGGCCATGCTCAGGTGCCAACTGTAACCAGAAACTCATCCCACCCACCCCCACCCCCACCCCCGAGCACTGCACAGATCCGTCATCAGGGAGGGCACCCCAGACTCGTGTCACTTGGGGAACTTTATAAACCCTGCCTTAAGTTTCTCTTCTGCTTAATGTGTGTGTGTGAACATTAACCCAGGCAATTAATCCAGTCAACACTCAGACACAGAAAGGTGAGAGAAAATCTCCCCAGGAAAACCCACGCTGGGGGGTGCTGCCACTCTCGGGGTCGCCCTCTGGGTGCCCTTGGCCTAACTCTTCTCTCTGCCCATGGATAGGTCTGCCCTCTGGTCAACGAGGTGCTCAGGCTCTTGGACATCACGCTGGTTCATGATATTATTGGTAAATATGCTGCAGAAACAGTGATTCCCCCAAGGCGTTGTGTACCTATACACTATGGGACCACTACATCCCTCTGGCCCCAACTTTCCCTGTTTGGGGTTTCTTTGTTCCCCTGAATTATCCACATAATTTTGAGGTAGGTAGCCTGCCTCTCCCTCGGCCTGACCTTGAGAACAACTGAGCTGCATGGTAAAAGAAAGCCCAGTCCCTCCCACCTGCCTGAGCACTGCTGGGTTTCCAATGCTCCCATTCCCTGGTCCTGTCCCCGGCAGGAGTATGAGCTCTTCCTGAACACCTTCCCCTCCAGGTCGTGACCCCAGTCTGGTGTTTTTATTTTCCAGAGTTACTGCTCCATGGGGTACAATTTGTCATCAAGGTCTAGGCCTCCCAGGAAGGGAACCTGCCCTCTGCTGAGCTGGTAAGTGCTGTTCCCTGCACCACAGGATTTGGGGCTGGCTGTTATTCTGGTAGAAGGCAGCAGGGGTTTTAGAGCAAATACCTGGTGGAGAGGAAAGGTTCATCTTGGCTCACAGTTTTGGAGGTTCAGCCCGTGACTGATTGGCCCTGCTTTTTCGATGAGACGGTACATCATGGTGGGAGCACATGGAGAGCAAAACCACTCCCTCATCAGCCACAGAGCAAACAGGGAAAGAAGCAGGGGCGGGGGCCCCACTGTCCCCTGCAAGGCCACACCTCCAGGGACCTGAAGACTTCCCTCTAGGCCCCGCATCCTAAGGGTCCTACCGCTCCCCGCAGTACCACCTGGGGACCAAGCATTCAACATAGGGCGTTGGAGGAATATTTAAAATCCATATGATAGCAACCTCCAAAGAAAGAGACAAGCACTCCCATGGATACACACAGAAGTTCACACAGATATCCACAGAAAGCTGAAAGAAGTGCACACAGGTGCCCTAGCAACACAGCCACAAAGAGAAACATACGTGGTCATGGACACACACATACACCACCACTACTCCTACACACATAAAGGCCAGACAGAAACATACATGATGATACAGATGCAGGTATTCGCATACCAGCACACTCATGTATGTGTGCACACACATGCAGACACTGCATACAAGTCCACATAGGTATAGTCACACAGTCACTAAGACACAGGCACAAGGAGCCCCCAACCTCAGGCTCCTCTTGTCCTTCTGGAGGGCAGGTTCGATATTGGGCCAGCACCAGTAAGATCAACGACTTTGAGTCTCTCTCCTACACTCTCCTCCCTACAGAACCATTTCTTGCTCCTGCCCAGAGTCCAGAAGGATGGCCCATGTGCTGGGAAATGACAAGGCTACTTTATCCCCAAGGAACCTGCTCACCCTCCTTTCTCACCAGCCATGAAAACATCCCGTGGTCCACACCAAATAAACTTGCTTTTCTTCTGCACTTAGGTCTCATTCTTCACCATCATGTGATGGTGCATGGGCTGCAAAGAGCCTTGGCCTTGGTGGCTGGAGCCACCCACCAGAACTTCAAAACTTACATCACGAGTCTGAGTGGTCTTGAATAGGTCACAGAAGTTCAAGTGTGTGTAGATTTCACACAACTATCTTGCTCTTCTCAGGAAGGATACATAGGGGCCTGGGTAGAGGGAATACTTCAGGCACAGATGATGACAAACAAAGCTGCCACCAAGAGACATTCTGGAGGTGGGCCAGGAAGGGTGTACATGGGGAGCAGTTCAGGTTCCTTCCTGCTTCTCAGGCTGGGGATCCCAAAGGTGACCGAGAATGTGGGAGGATGAATTGATTCCAGCAGGAAGAGTGTCTCAGTTGTGGCTACAGAGTGTGGTAGCACCTGGGAGGCCCTGAAGGACCCATCAAAGAAGTTGAGAGGTACACAGGTCATCTATTACCCATCGTCTGCTTACTTGGATCTGGTCATACTGGTCACTTTTTATTGTCTAAACAAAAGAAGAATAAAAATAATACAAAGGAAAGGTAGAAGGAAGACTACTCTGGTCCAAAGTGTTAACGACTGAGGACTTGAGAAAGTCATCAAAAAAGATCATTTGACTTGTAAATTAAATGACTATCAGTGCCTTGGGTGACAGTCATATTTTTTTGGAGGAGGAAGCTTGATTTTAAGGAAGTAAGAAAAAAACGGAGGAAGTTGAGACTATGCAGAATTAGGAAAAATTTGATGCAAGAACAGAGAGTTTCACAGTATTTTAACTCAGCCTGGTCCAGTCTCTCACTTTCCAGCCCCAAAACCCCACTGAAAACCAAAATCCCTCTGTGTAGAGCAGGCTGTGTCCCACCATGACTTATCTATGTTGCATAGACTAATAGGTTTCAGGCTGGGCTTTGCCCTGAATGACTCCATTTCATAAAATAGCAGTTTGCACCATTTTTAGTGCAAGTAATGAGGCAGAATGACTTGGTAACTTCTTTGTACAAATAACCACCAGATTTTAGACACACCAAACTTATTTTTAAAAACTCTCAGCTTCACCAAACAATAATAAAGGCATGAACTGCAAAGTAAATTAATCTTACCAATAAAAAGTTTCCACCTATAAACTTATCAAATTAATCAAGAACACTGGATGCTGCTTGCCTCGCAAGTGCAAAGACCCAAGTTCGATCCCTGGTACCAAAAAAAAAAAAAAGAACACTGGACACATGACATATCTAAATTATATCAGAGGAAGCCAGGCCAATGAGCTTATCAGACATACCAGACCAATAAAAAATGCAATACCCTCACCTGAATTATACAAAAGGAAGGACACCTAACACTGGGGTGGGCAGTCCCACACTCATTAGACTACCTGGTGAAAGCACCTGAGTGAGGGATGTTCAGACATAGTATTACATATAGCACTACAGCCATCAGACACTTGGTCTCCTCTAGTATCCAATGCAAGCAAGGAGTTGCCATTCAAAGGGATCCATCATCTATAATCTCTAGCACATGATGAGAGTGCTAGAGCCAAATCTCATTTATCCTCGTGCATGCACCCAGACAGTGGTCAGCACCTCAGTCAGCCCATCATGCCCCAGGGAGCTGGCCCCACCCTGGAACAATGGTCTTGTGTTTTTCTTTGTCAACCCTGCTCACTGTGCCAAACTGCTAAACAGAACATTACGCACTGGTTATCATGGCATCATGTACTGATCACTGCTCCCAGAGGCAGACTCTAATACATCTGCTCATTGAATCTTGGTGGGATCTCCAAGGAGATGCATACATGATGGAGCAATACTTTACTTACATAGAGAAAAGACTAGGCAAGATCAGATTGAATTGTGTGTCTTATTTCCCCATAGCTAGTGAGTCCCAGCATTCCATAGCTGATGCAAGATAATTGACCTCTTGTGCCAAAGAGGTCCTACTCCATTCCCCATGAAGCCTGAAAAATGGAAAACTAAGGGCCACTGATGCATACACATAAGCATACAAAGGTAGAGATATTGAGTTTACAACAGGGAAAGAATTCTTACACAAGGCACAAACTGTGTGGGCTCTTTAATCTCCTACTAAAGAAATTTCCCAGGCCCAAAGCTCATTCTTACGTAGCCCACCAGAGGGTCAAGAGATAGTACTCATGAGGCTGCCTCCCCAACACAATCATAGCTGACCTCTAAGCTACCCAAGCAGAGACTACAGAAGCCACACATGACAAAGAATACAGACTTTACAGGATTGGTTCAGGAAAGTCACTAAACAAATAACTACAATAAGCAGCAACAATAACAAACGAGAGGCAGAAGAATCGAATTTCCAAAACTCACATGTCATGTTTTAAAAATATCCAATATTCAACAAAAAGGTGTAAAACATTCAAAGAAACAAGAAAGTAACCTGTCCTGGAGAATCCCAGATGTTACTAGACAAGCTTTAAATTTACAATTTTAAATATATTCAAAGAACATAGGACTAAGAAACCGTGTCAACAAACTAAAGACAATGCTAGAATAACATCTCCAAAACAGAATATAAACAAAGTGACAGAGGTCTGCGCATGCCCTACAGAGGTCACGAGTCCTGTGGAACACGCCGAATCAGCCCGCTGCAGACAGCCAGGTCTGCACATGCAATACCGAGGTCCTGAGTTGCGTGGAACACGCCGAATCACCCCACGCCCCGGCAACAATCCACTGGACACCACTCCCCCCCACTCCTCTGTACAACCACCTGGTTCCACACTACAAAGACACAGAGGACACCGGACCACCAGACCACTGTACTGAGTCCCATCGCTCCCGGCCCAGAGGTTGGGGCTTCTGAGCTGCCGTCCCACCCCTCCTGGTCCAGAGGAAGGGGCTTCCCAGCCACCATCCCTCCCACTGCTCCCAGCCCACAGGAAAGGGCTTTTGGGCCTACCGCTGCTCCTGGCCCCTGTCCCACCCCTCCCAGCTCAGAGGAGTTGATCCATGCAGGCACCAACAGCACCTCCCTCCAGTTGAAATGAGAAAACACGTAACTAAGTCTCAAAACCAGACTTCAAGATCACCTACAGCAACCCCAAAGGGAAATGAGATGGAACACTCTGATACTCAACCATCTGGACCCACTGAACTGGCAACAAAAGG